CAAGGGAAGGAGAAGTTATAGTAGAGACGGAAAATGGACTAGGAGTCTTATCTTCCCTAAATGTGTGGTTTTGTCAGTCCCTGCCTCATGCAAGACATGCATACTCACATACCTGCACACACATTTGCATGCTCACACATCTGTACACACATGTATGCTCACACACATGCATGTTCACACACCTGCACACAGACGCATGTGTGGTCTTAACCCTCAGAGCTTCAAGGAGAAAGAGTTCAGGGGTGTGGGGAGATGGCTCAGCAGGAAAAGTGCTTGCCACACAGCATGAAGTCTAGAACCTGAAACCCCTGCAGGCATGTAAAACCGAGTGTAGCAGCACACATCCAAAACCCTAGCTCTGGTGTTGAGAGAGGGAAGGGAAGAAACAGATGAATTCCCAGAGCCCCTGACTGGCCAATCGGTGAGGTCTGGGTTCAATGAGAGTCTGTGTCTCAAAAGATAAGGTGGAAGATACCTCTGGCCTCCACATGCATACTCAAATACACACATCTGCACACATGCAAGCACACACATGCATGCTCACATACCAGCACACACACATGCATGCTCATATACCTGCACACACACATGCATGCTCACATATCTGCACACACACATGCATGCTCACATACCTGCACACACACATGCATGCTCACATACCTGCACACACACATGCATGCTCACATACCTGCACACACACATGCATGCTCACATACCTGCACACACACATGCATGCTCACATACCTGCACACACACATGCATGCTCACAAAACTGCACACACACATGCATGCTCACACAACTGCACACAGACATATGCACACCTATACACAGGCTTGCATGCTTAAATAAAAACTTCAGAGAGTTGAGTGGGTTCCTCAAATGTTCCATTTCCATTTTATTTTTAATACATTTCCTTATTTATGTGTGTGTGTTCGTGTGCACACAAGTGGCCATGTGTTAGTGGAGGTAAGAGAAAAACTTCTTCCACTGTGTAAGTTCTGGGGATCGAACTCAGGACTCTGCTTGTCAAGCTTGTCGAACAAGTATCTTAACCCCCTGTGCCATGTTGGCCTTGTTTGAGTTTTAATCTGTTTGTCCACGTCCGTTGACTTAAGGATTTGAGTTGGGTGTCAGAGAGGCTGCTTAGGGAGGCTAGCCAGTATCCCCGGAAGTCAATCTGGGAGACCCTCCATTATGTTTCCCCCCCCCCCCTGCCCTCAGCCACTAGAATGCAGGAGTGGGCAAGCAGAAGGCCTAAGGAAAGTGTCGTCGCTGCCCCTGGACTGGACAACCGGATGGCAGACTTGTAAAATCGGCGAGGGGTGCCAGGAAACTGTCTTGCTCATCATAAACGGTGAGAAGAGAGCCTCGGCGTGAGACCCGCCCCTTCCGGCTCAGCCCCCCCCCCC